AGAAAGCAAAAATTAAACGAAGAAATTGGAGATATAGGAGAAAATTTGGGAAAAATTTTGACGAGGAAAAGGAGATTTATTCAAAGGTTTGGGGGGGAAAGCGGGTTTTACGCCCCTCAAGGAAATTAAGGCAGGGTTTTTTCATTTTAATTCCCCAAAAAAAGGGGGGGGGGGGTGGTCTAAATTCTTAAGCTTTCAATATAGCACAAAATAACTTAAGGACAGACTTTCTGGGTATAAGTTTAACGACTCTGAATTCTGACTGGAGTCATTAATTGTCCCGTGACCTATTGAGGCTATTTTTAGCACAAAAATATATTTGGCAATATGGCACCACTTATAATTACTTTCTGGAAGTTGCAGTTATCGTCATAGTTATGAGACAAGTGGGTACATCATTTCTATGTCCGGGCCTTTTAAGTTAATCTTTTAGACAGGAAGGAAATTCGAAAAACGTTTGATAAGGGGACTGGGTACTAGTACAAAATTCCGTTTATTTACACTTTTAATAAATTATTCAACAAAGCTCAGGCAGAGATGTCTAGCCGTTAATCTAGGGACATGTTTGGTTGCAATTTCTTCGATTGGCCGTTAAAGGTCACGTGACCTAATTTACAATTCTCAGTTACTGGGAATCGCGTACATTTTTGAGAGTCATTATTTTACTCAAGTTTTCTCGCTACGGAGGCCTTAATCCTCAAAATATAGACCACCCCTCGACTTTTTGAGGGAAATTGAAAAAAACACCCATGCCTTAATTTCCTTGAGCGGTTCCTGTTATCCGACCGTAAAAATAGCTGAAAAGTGGGGTGAAATCCAAGGGAAATGGTAATAGTTCGAGTTAGCTGGGAATTTGAAGTAACGACCCTCGTAACTTTCGGATTTAGCAGCCTTTCCCATCGCTACTTTCGGAGGGTCGCTACTTTCAGGAGGTCGCTACTTCGTACCGTACATGTCTTGAGCAGTACGAAGTTACGGTAATAATATCGAGACAATTATGAAAACATTCACACTTTTCACTCATTTCATGTTATTGCTTTTTAAATAAATATTCAAAAGAACTGTTTGACGATTACGGAGTGAGTATTCACAGACGAAAGGAAGAAATTTTGAAAAGAAAAAGATGTATTAAATGTACCTTTTGAGTTACATAAAGGAATGTCAAATATCATTATTACTGTTAAAAAATAAATCTCGAATCAGTTTGCGTTGGTAAAGTTTGTTGTATTATAACTATACTTCGGAAATCCGTT